CAGGGACGGCCAGCGACTGGGGGGGGTGTCTCATATTGGACTCTTCGATGTTGACTTTCTCGTTCTGTCTCCGCTCTCTGTACGTCAGCCCGGGCGGCGGCGGGGTGAAGCTGGCCCGCTCGGAGTCGCTGAAGGCACAGGGCGAGGTGCGCAAGCCCCGGGTGGAAGTCGTGCCGCGCTCCCGGAGCGACGTGGACATGGACGACGCGGCCGAGGAGAGGGAGAGGGAGGGGGCCCGGCTGCACCAGTCCGCCTCCTCCTCTGCCTCCAGCCTCTCTGCCAGGTCAGCCGTCTGCCCTGCCCAGGCGTCTCTCCGGTCTCTCTGACTCCTCTTCCGTCTCTCTCCTTTCCTTTTCTCTGCTGTGCCTCCTTTTCCCTGTCACACCTTTCTCTTATCCTCTAGCTCCTTTTCCCTCTCTCTCCTTTTCTTTTCCCTGCTATGCCTCCTTTTCCCTGTCACACCTTTCTCTTATCCTCTACTTCCTCTTCCCTCTCTCTCCTTTCCTTTTCTCTGCTGCGCCTCCTTTCCCCTGTGGTGCCTTTTTCTTATTCTCTAGCTCATTTTCTCTTTCTCTGCTGTCTCTTTCCACTATCACGCCTCTCTTTCATCCTCTAGCTCCTGTTCCCTCACGCTCCTTTCCCTTCCTCCGCTGCGTCTCCTTTTCCGTCACACCTTGCTCCTTTCCTACCTCTCCTCTCTTCTTCACCTGCCCCCGCCCCCCCTGCCCGCTCGCCCCCCACCGCTGGGGTTTTCAGCTCTGTCCAGCCTGGCGCGGTCTTGCCGTTCTTTGACAGAAGGCGCTCACACCTGCCTGGTTTCCTCTTTTTCAGATCTCTGGAAAACCCCACTCCGCCGTACACTCCCAGGTCACGACGGAAGTAAGTGTTTTGTCACGTTAAACAACAGAGCTGTGCCCCGCGACCACCCCTTTTCCCAGTTTCACTGGCCCTGTTCCTCCTGCTTTCGTCACTGTGGAACTCTTGAGCCTGTATAGCCAACCATGTACGAACCACTGACAAGCACTGCAAGGCAGCAGCAATTTGACAGCCTACGGGCTGTGATCTCTTTTCCATCTCTTGCTCTGCGGAGTCCTTTCTTTTACCCTGAGCAGAAGCAGATCACTGACGGTTTTACGGAGACTGAGCACAAAGAATTCCTGCCTTCCTGATTGTCCTCCTGCCTCGCATTGTGTTTTCACTAACCTGAAGTGTCTCGAGACGCCTGCGGGCCCCGAGAGCCGGAATCCAGCAGGTTTTCTAGATCTGTAAA